TTTATTTGCTAAGACTGTAAAGCAGTAGAAAGGTAGAAAATATTGTCTACTTACTAAATACAAAGGATAGGATCTTTGAGATGACAGTGCCACTATTTATTTCTTTATTTATTTGAGACAGAGTCTTACTCCAAGCTGGAGTGCTTACTGCAGCCCTGGACCTTCTGGGCGCAAATGGTCCTCCCGCCTCAACCCTCCAAGCAGCTGAGGCCACAGACAATGCTAGTATTTTTTTAAAAATCATGATATTACATAATATACCATAAGAAGACGAATAAAGTATAATCACCCCACTTATATGCCATGCTTTATAGTTAGTTGGGATAAATTCATCAAACAGGTACTTCTTTCATGCAATATGAGTTGAAACAGGGCTTAAGAAATAGGTAGTTAATCTTGAGAATGAACATTAGGGCAGACATGGGGCAGGACTTGTTTTTTAACTTCAATCAGGAATCTTCTAGGCCCTATGCCCTGAAGCCAGGCCACACTCTGTGGTCTCATGGGTTTGATCCTCAGAGGTGGAGTGACTGCCTACGCTAACCAGCAGTACCCTGGTCACCTGGCAGGGAAAGCTTCACGCTTTTTCCAAAAGGGATTGACTAGTCACAGAGTTAGGGAAAATTAATTACCAGACCCAGGGAGAAGATCTCAGAATGATGCCCAGGATGGCTTATTGGCTCTAGAATTAGAATTTAATTTTTCTTTATTCTGTAAGTAAAGTTTTTGTTTTCCCCCATCTAGGATCAGATGTTGAATTTTATGGTCGTGTCTTCTTAGGCTTTTAATAGGAAATATTTCTACCGCCTCTCTTTGTATTTTATGCTATTGGCATTTTGAAGAATATAATCTTTTTTTTTTTTTGAGACAGAGTCTCGCTCTGTTGCCCAGGCAGTGGCGCGATCTCGGCTCACTGCAAGCTCCACCTCCCAGATTCACGCCATTCTCCTGCCTCAGCCTTCTGAGTAGCTGGGACTACAGGCGCCCACTAATTTTTTGTATTTTTAGTAGAGATGGAGTTTCACCGTGTTAGCCAGGATGGTGTCGATCTCCTGACCTCGTGATCCACCCGGCTTGGCCTCCCAAAGTGCTGGGATTACAGGCATGAGCCACCACGCTCGGCCGAATATAATCATTAAAAAAAAAAAAGAACGTCCTTGGTTCTGGGCCCTTCTTTTGTTTCTCATGGATTATTCAGGCCAGAATACTTTGTCAAGGATGAGTCTCTCAAAACACTGCCAATGGGAGGCCCAGTGTCTCTCTGGCCCTCACTGGTGATGTTAATTCTGATTACACAGGCAAGGTGTCAGTCAGTTTTTCCACTATATATGAACGATTCTTTCCTTTTGCAACTGAAAAACAGTTGGAGGAGGACACTGTGAGACCATGTGCATATCCCACTCTTCATCAGAATTCCCCGTAGAGGTAGGAGTCGGAAGGTTCTGGCCAAAGCAGCACTTGCTGTCATGTTTGCAAAAGCTTCTGCCTTGTCCATGCTCATCAGTCAGAGAGAAAGCTCTCAGGTTTCTCATTTATACAAACTACACTTGCTGATACTAATCTGAAAACAGGAGGCCTTCCTCATATAGCTCAGAGTTTTGTGACTGGTTTTAGCATTTTGTCTTTTTTTTTTCCACTTGGACTTCAAGTTACTTATAGATAAATCTGAAAATCCTTTAAGACAACCTGTGCCGATTCTTCTGGTGCATGTTCCTAGGCATGTGCGCACAACACCACCGGCGACCACTGCGAGCGGTGCTTGCCCGGCTTCTACGGGGAGCCTTCCCGAGGGACTCCCGGGGACTGCCAGCCCTGCGCCTGCCCTCTCACCATAGCCTCCAACAAGTAAGCCTCGGACCTCATCCGCATTTCCTGCCGGCATGGCCAGCATTCCCACCCAGATGTGTACTAATGTCTTCGGAGCAAGACTTTGTGTGTAATAAGTGTGTGAATTTTGCCAGTAACAATTGATTTGGATTAAAGACAGAGGGGTGGGTTATTTTCTTCTAAACCAAAGTTTGGCGTATTAAAGCAAGCAAGAAAAGGTGTGTGCCAGCAAGGACCTATACACGCCGTTTTCCCTCTTGGTTCCTCTTGGTCATCAGTTGTTTCACAAGTATATATTGTCTACTCACCAGTGGGCTAGGAGGTAGAGGGATACAGAGAGGAATAAAACATTGTCCCTCGACTTAGGGAGTTTTTGATCTAATGACCAAAATACGTACGTATGAGCCTAAACAAGAATAGTCTAAATCCATTCATTGATTCAACAGATGTTTATGGAGTGCCTGCTGTGGCCTGGGTTTTACAGCAGGTGTTCTGAGTAGCAAACTGTTCTGACCTGGCCGTGGGCCCCAGGGGACGCAGTGTGGTCGTGAGTGTAGTGAGACCTGTCCACCAGATGGTGGGATGGAGGGAGAGCAGTGTCCAGCCTACCTAGGTGGGTGCAGGAAGCTCTTAGACCTGCAGGAGAAGGAATTCCACAGGCAGCACAGACAGGCGTTCTAGGCAGATGGAGCTGGGCGTGCCGTGGCGTGGCAGCAGGAACAGGCATCGCCCATTTGAGGAATTGCAGCAGGCCATGGAACAGAAGGCATGGAGGGAGGTGGAAGGAGATGTACCAGGCAAGGCCTTGTAGTCACTCTGGGGCAAGTGCATCCCACAGGCCAGCAGCTTAAAAGCCTCTCTCTCTCGCTGGTTTAACCTTTAGAACTCTTCCTCCACCCACTCTCAAAGAATTCCCCCAGGGATTTTTATTTGAAATTCCAGTATATAAAAAGGATGCAGTCAGGGTTACTCGCGATGAAATTGGGGGTGTTTACCGTCATCCACCCTTTGCAGGCTCCTCAAGGTTTAGGAATAGGGTTGGAAGGGGCATCAGTTAGCAGGGGGTCCCTGGAGAGGTGCGAGAGACTCCTGACCACTTTGTGTTTGAGCGAGCTCACTTTTGCCCTGGTATGGGCAGGGCTCTGACGTGGGAAGTCAGTGCCAGGGAACCCGAGGTGGGGAACCCAGCATCCTAGGAGCACCCGAGTAGGCCTCCTGGAGGAAGCGTCACCTGAGGTGGGCACTGGGGCTGAGCTGGGTTAACCCAGGCAGACAGCGGGAGAAGTTGGCGCACTGTGGGCTGAGAACAAGAGGAGTAGGGAGCAGGGAGCGAGGCGCGAGTGTCCGTGCCTGGATCATGGGACCAAGAGTCGATGAGGGGTGGAGGCTCACAGGGTGGGCTGGGTGACCAGAGGCCCCGGGTTCTGAGCTAAGGAGATCTCACTGACAGTCTGTAAGCACAGGAGTGGTAGAAATTAAGCATTTTAAATATTTAGAAATTCGACTTCATTCATTGGAAAATTTTGTTCATTTCTGTTCTGACAGTTTCAGCCCCACCTGCCACCTCAATGATGGGGATGAGGTGGTCTGCGACCAGTGTGCCCCGGGATACTCAGGAGCTTGGTGTGAGAGGTACTCTGCATCCACTGGTTTCAAAACGCTGTGTTCACATTTTCAAAATTGAATATAAATTCTGTGTGTTTGTTTTTAAATGCATAGTTAAGTGTGGTTTTGGAGTTTTGATGCATAATTGTTATTTCATAGAATCACTGAGAAAAATCAATATTTCATGTTTTAAAATTAATGTTAAACCTTGCTGGGAATTTTTAAAGAACGGTACTCTTTTCCTGGCTAATGTGAGTTCTCATCAAGAACAATAGGCCGGGCGTGGTGGCCCACACATGTAATGCCAGCATTTTGGGAGGCCGAGGCAGGCAGATCACCTGAGGTTAGAAGTTCAGACCAGCCTGACCAACATGGTAAAACCCCGTCTCTACAAAAATACAAAAAAAAAAAAAAAAAAAAAAAAAAGGCTGGGCATGGTGGCGGGTGCCTGTAATCCTAGCTACTTTGGAGGCTGAGGCAGGAGAATCAGTTGAACCTGGGAGTTGGAGGTTGCAGTGAGTGGAGATTGCACCAGTGCACTCCAGCCTGGGAGACAGAGTGAGACTCCGTCTCAAAACAACAACAACAACAACAAAAACAACAGGAAGCAGCAAGGAGTCGTACCTGTGGTTCACACATTTGAATATTCCATTGCTCCCAGCTATTCTGGAGATGACAGGTGGTTTGGTTTAGTAGCTGTCTCCTGGCTTCTGAAAGCCAGTGCTGTTTTACCCACGTGTGCGCCTCAGTGCCCAGCTCTGGCCGAGCCTGTAAGAGGCTGTGTGGCATCTGGAGTGGTCAGCGGTGGGTCAGAGTTGGCGCTGGACACAGTTGCACGTCCATGGATTTATGCCTCATTTTGGACACTCTCCCCCTTCATCACGACAGGTGAAGGAGATCTGGGAATGCCCGAGTGTGGAGTCGTATCCCTTTCACAGTAAATCTCAGGAAACAGAGTCAGTCTGATTTATTGGCCATTCAGGGAGCCCCTGGATAGTGCGGTAAGGCCTTAAGTAATTGCATTTGTCTGATCCCACTTTCAATCTTTGATACAGATGTGCAGATGGTTACTATGGAAACCCAACAGTGCCTGGCGAATCTTGTGTTCCCTGTGACTGCAGCGGCAACGTGGACCCCTCGGAGGCTGGTCACTGTGACTCGGTCACCGGGGAGTGCCTGAAGTGCCTGGGGAACACAGACGGCGCCCACTGTGAAAGGTGTGCTGACGGCTTCTACGGGGACGCTGTGACAGCCAAGAACTGCCGCGGTGAGTGCGCGAGCGTGAAGTCAGGTCGGCTGTTTATCGCCGTAGGAAGTCACATGGGTCACACAGGGCCCAGCCTAGGAGGTCACGCTCTCTTGAGGGGTTACTTGCATTAATGCTGGGTCTCCGATCAAACACAGACCCACGACCCGGTTCTTCCCTGGCTACCCTATCTGAGCTTGGTTAGTCACAACCCATAGGGGCCAGTGGCCTAGAAAGATACAGCCTGCCACTCGAGCGGCCAGTGTGACTTGAGAGAGTTCTGGCTCTGCTCCCAGTGACTGAAATGAAAGTGGGGAAGCTCAGAGCCTGTCACATTCATAAGGGAGATGCTTCGGGGGCTGCATGAGGCAGATGAGATTCCAAGATGAAGGGTGGGAAATGGTAAGACTGTAACTCCAGAAACTGCGTAAAGCACCGTGTGGTGCATCTTAGTCCTCTGTGCCGAAACTACCCGATCCCTGTGTCCCTCTGCTGAATTTGAGTCTTGAAATTACGGATCGTGGAGAAAACTAGATTCTCCTGTACAGCAGATGACCTGGCCAGAGGGATGATTCAGCCCTCAGATTTTGAAGGAGTGAAAGAACAAAACTGGCAATTACAAATTATTTTGAGTATTTCATATAAATGCCAAAGTCATACTATGGTATTACAATGTGGGGACACAAGAGGGCGCCAGCTATACAGAAAACGTACTTTCCCAGCCACACATGGAGAGATTGGAAATGTTTTTAGCCCTGGGCCAATCAGGCTGGGCTCCGGCAGGTGGCCACCTTGACTGGCTATCATACCAGAATAATTATGATAACAGGATTTCTACAGTGCTTCACAGTTTACAGAATGTTTTTATCGTTTTCATGTCATTTCTTTTCATCATTACTGCAAGCCTTGGTGATTCGTTCCTCCACTCATTCATTGTTTATTAAGTGTCTGGTATTTCCCAGACACTATCCTAAGAACTGTGACTGGTAGTTGGGAAATTGTGGTTCGAATCTACTGGGAAGCTACACATGATGATGGTATGGGGAAAAAACATACCTGCGGATCCAGCCGTTGGAGTCTGACTAATGTGACTTTGATTCCAGGACCAACTGTGTGACATTGGGCTAATGTATTAGCCTCTCTGAGCCACTATTTTGCTATTCATAAAATGGACATAATTATATGTGTATATTAAAGTCTTTCTGAGAAGTCAGTGCAAAAACATTTACAGTTCTAGACATGAAATAAATGGTAGCTATTATAATTACTAGTAATAAAGCAATCATTTTTATTATGTTTTCACACCACTGCTGTCCAATAGAAATATAATGTAAACACACATGTAATTTAAAATTTTTTAGTGGCCACATTTTTCAATAGTAAAAAGAAGTAGGTGAAATGTATTTTAATAATATATTTTACCTGAGCTGATATATTAAAAATTAGCATTTTGTCATGTGATCAGGTTTTAAAAGTATTAAAGCAATATTTACTTTCTGTTTTAGTACTGAGTCATCAAAATTGAGTGTATATTTTATAGCCAGCTCAGTTTGCTAATTTTTTTTTTTTTTTTTTTTTTTTTTTTTTTTTTTTTTTTTTTTTTTTTTTTTTTTTTTTTTTTTTTTTTTTTTTTTTTTTTAGCCCAGCTCAGTTTGCTAAATTTTCATCAGAAATACTTGATCTACATGCAGATTACAGAAAATTTACAGTTGAAAAGGTAGTTCAAACGTATTTAAAATTTTTCCATCCTGTACCAAAAATTATTTTCTTTAATATTGGCATCCACGTTGACAAAACCACTTCAGTATTTAAATTTAAACTCAGAGATTTGGTTCTTCGGTTGCATCAGCCACATCTCCAGCGTTTGGTAGACATGTGTGGTTGGCGGCCACAGGACAGGACTGTGAAGGTGAAGGCGATGAATGACTGTCTGGGGGTGCACTTGAAGGCACAGAGGACGGGCAGGCCCATCAGCCTAGGGTGGCCAGTGCTGCCTTCTGAAGGGAGTGCCGTTCATCTGAGACTTGAAGGATGGAAAGAGGAACCCCAAGAAGAGTGACCAGCGTGGGAAGACGGGCCCAGGCAAGCGGGCAGGCCCTGCCCGAGGTAGAGGCTGGAGAGAGAGTGAGCAGAATGGAAAAGACAGAGGCAGGGAGGGGTCTCGGGCTGACAGGTGGGAAGCAGCCACGTCGGCGGGGTCTCGTGTGCAGTGTTGAGGTGCCGAGGTCACTTCATCCTCACTGTCCTAGGACTCACCAGGGTGTGATTGGAGCTGTGTGTTTGAATAGTGCCCTGCGGCCAGCGTTGAGGAGAGACTGGCTGCCGAGGTGTTGGGTTAGGAGACAAGACCGGAAATGAATCTTGCTGATGAGGGCTTCAGATAGGGCCTTTGCCATGGAGATAAAAGAGAAGACATAAAATAGGTGTTGGTGACAGATTGGAAGGTGGAGGAAGGCCGGTTAGAGCAGCTGGGGTGTGGGTCTGGGCCTGGGCTGGTGGGGCTGATGCTGTCCAGGCTCTCTCTGGTTTCTCAGCACTTCACAGCTTTTGTTCCTCTCTCGCTTTCTCATCCCCTCCTCGCATCCCCTGGTTTCGATGAGACAAAGTCCTGTGAACGGTTTCTGCGTATCTCACGAGCAATCCTTCCGTTTCTGTAACAGGCTTCCCTCTATGGACCTCCCATAGGGCCCCCCCATTCTTGTATAATACTATAGTCTGTTAGGTTAAACCAGGTGAAAGTGCCGGTGTTGTATGTGATTGACCTTCTCTAAAGCAAGTGCTTATAGTTCAACCCGGTATTTATCTGTTTACTCGCCCGTAACTCTGACTCACTTGAAGCTTGGTAGGAGGAGAAACTGATCATCAGGTTCACCTTCAGTGGCTGCAGCCGGAGGTGTAGACAGGCCGTCCAGGTAGAGTAGGCGCTTGGGGAGATGAGGATGGTGAGAAACCTCACAGAACTCTAATATTAAAGAAATCTTATATTAAATAAGTTAAATGAGTATAATTTTTATATTGTGAGCTACTCCTGAGAATTAAAATATATATAGTACCTGGCTATTCAGTAATTGGCCTAAAATAATACTATTTTAAATTAGTACTATCTATAACATAAATACTATTTTAATTAAGAATTACTATAATAGGCCGGGTATGGTGGTTCACACCTGTAATCTCAGCACTTTGGGAGGCCGAGGCCAGTGGATCACCTGAGGTCAGGAGTTCGAGACCAGCCTGGCCAACATGGCAAAACCCCGTTTCTAATAAAAATGCAAAAATTAGCTGGGTGTGGTGGTGAGTGCCTGTAATCCCAGCTACTCGGGAGGCTAAGGTGGGAGAATCACTTAAGCCTGGTAGGCAGAGGTGGCAGTGAACCGAGATTGTGCCACTGCACTCCAGCCTGGGTGATGGAGTGAGGCCCCGTCTAAAAAAAAAAAAAAAAAAGAATCACCATAATAATTATTACTGCAGAGAGAGAACTAGTAATAGCTGTGTGACCTATGGAAAGGTATCTAGTCTTTCCAGGTTGTAGATTTTGTAGATTTCACACCAAAAATAGAGAACATTATTTTTATTTCACCTCTCTCCTTGGTTTGTGATGAAAGTACAAAGAAATACTGAATGTGACAGGCACAGACTGACAGACACATCATACAGTGAATATGATTTTTTAAATTATCATCAATAGTTTGTATTGATCATACTTGCATTGAACTTTAAATATTCCCCAGAGAAAGAGGCAGCTTTAAATGAAACACGGAGGGGAGACACACAAGAAACAAGGGGGGCTGAAAAGTGGGTGTCCCAAATACCTCAGTAGGAGGGCGATGCAAAAGGGAGAGGGAGGTCACGGGGTCCCTTCCACAGAGCCATGGGGTCAGAGGGGGACCGAAGTCTACTCCCTGAATTTGGTGCCTGGGAAATCCCTGGAGACTTCTGGGAGAACAGTTGTAGCAGACAAGGGGCCAGGAAGACACTATGCAAAAGCTGGATTGAACGGACGTGCCAGGGAGGTGGATGTTCCGATGGAGGGTCAAGGGGGAGGGGTGTCTTGTGTTTGATGGGGTCAGTAGAGAAGGATGTGCTGGGGAATTAGCAGTAGAGTCTGCACGGTCCAGCTATGGGCTGACAGAGTAAGTCCCTGAAGGGCGCCAGTGAATGGGGCCTCCTGTGGGACTTCAGCGTTAAGGCCCCGACCCCGGGAAAACAGATGGCCAGCCTGGCCTAGATCATGAAGGAGGCGGATCCCAGCACGGTTCCTCTGCCCTCGACCTTCCCGTGTCCCGTGTCCGGCACTCTTGCTGCAGCCTCCGGGTTGTGTTTGGGCCTTCCATTATTTGTGAAGTTTTTCTCTCTTTTTTGTTATATCGTTATATCATGACACACACTGGACATGTTCTGAGTCCACGCATTCATAAAGAGTGCCTGGGGGCCGGGCGCGGTGGCTCACGCCTGTAATCCCAGCACTTTGGGAGGCCGAGGCGGGCAGATCACGAGGTCGGGAGATCAAGACCATCCTAACTAACACGGTGAAACCCCGCCTCTACTAAAAATACAAAAAATAAGCTGGGCATAGTGGCCGGTATCTGTAGTCCCAGCTACCTGAGAGGCTGAGGCAGGAGAATGGCATGAACCTGGGAGGCGGAGCTTGCAGTGAGCCGAGATGGCACCACTGTACGCCAACCTGGGCGACAGAGTGAGACTCTGTCTCAAAACAAAAATAAAACAAAAAAAAGGAGTGTCGGGCAACATATTAAATGTTCTTTTTTTTTTTTTTTTTTTTGAGTTGGAGTTTCACTTGTCACTCAGGCTGGAGTGCAGTGGCGTGATCTTGGCTCACTGCAACTTCCACCTCCCGGGTTCAAGAGATTCTCCTGCCTCAGCCTCCCGAGTAGCTGGGATTACAGGCATGTGCCACTATGCCTGGCTAATTTGTGTATTTTTGGTAGAGACGGGGTTTCACCATGTTGGCCAGGCTGGTCTTGAATGCCTGACCTCAGGTGATCCGCCCTCCTTGTCCTCCCAAAGTGCTGGGATTACAGGCATGAGCCACTGTACCCAGTCAACATATAAATATTCTAACTGAAGTGCTTATTGAGGGTTCCCCTGTGAATATTGATTAAATGTATTTTGAACCCGTAAGATTATATCACTTTGCAAAGGTAGGGGCCTTTGTAGCTTTGTCAGTGTTGCAACTGTAGATAAAATGGAACCATCTGGCCTGAAACTACAAATGACTCATGACTTAGAACTGGGATGTATCATATTTAATGAAAAGATGTTTTTCATTAAATTATGAAATGTAATATTAATATGTACTTATTTAGATTACGTTTTAACTGAGCTTTAAAATATTAAATATGTAGCCTGGCACGGTGGCTCACGCTTGTGATCCCAGCACTTTGGGAGGCCAAGGTGGGCAGATCACGAGGTCGGGAGATCGAGACCATCCTGGCTAACACGGTGAAACCCCATCTCTACTAAAAATACAAAAAATTAGCCAGGCGTGGTGGCGGGTACCTGTAGTCCCAGCTACTTGGGAGGCTGAGGCAGGAGGATGGCGTGAACCCGGGAGGTGGAACTTGCAGTGAGCTGAGATCGCACCACTGCACTCTAGCCTGGGCGACAGAGCGAGACCCAGTCTCAAAAAAAAATAAAAAATATATATACACGTGTGTGTGTGTGTGTATATATATGTGTGTATATATATGTGTATATATATAAAAAATATGTACCTGATTGAAATCAGAGCAAATGGCTAAGTTGGTTTTGAAAATCTCCATTGCATGTTTTTCACGGGAATTTGTAGCTTATTTTTAAAATGTCACGGAATTCATGAAATTGGTTAAGCGACTTTGTAATTATCATCTTAATAGCTTCAATATGTTTTTCCTGTGATGGATCCTTCCACTAACCCTGTTTTAGTTTACTCTTCAGAAGAATGCTAAACTTCTAAAGTTATTGCCAATAATATCATTTTTAGTTTTGTGATTTGAAACGCTGAAGGTTTACATTTTTTTTCCTTTGGGGACGAAGGATCTTACAACCATCCTCAGAAATGAGGGTTAATATGTGTCTGTGTGCATGTGTTTAGCCTGCAGATGCCATGCGAAAGGCTCCCATTCTGCCGTGTGCCATCTTGAGACCGGACTCTGCGACTGCAAACCAAACGTGACTGGACAGCAGTGTGACCAGTGTTTGGTAAGATGCGTGTGACTGACACCTTAGCGTTGGTACAGAGGCGATTGAATCCATGACTCAGAAGGAGCTAAGTCCCCAAGTGTAGTAGTCTGTTCTCACACTGCTATGGAGATACTACCCAGGACTGGGGAATTATCAACAAAGGAGGTTTAATTGACTCACAGTTTCGCGTGGTTGGGGAGGACTCAGGAAACTTCTAATCATGGTGGAAGGGGAAGCAGGCACCTTCTTTACAAGGCAGCAGGAGAGAGTGTGAGCATGTGAAGGAGGAACTGTCAACACTTACAAAACCATCAGATCTCATGAGCATTCACTATCATGAGAACAGCATGGGGAGCTGCCCCTAGGATCAAATCACCTCTCTCCTTTGACACATGGGGATTACAATTGGATTTGAGATTTGGGTGGGGACCCAGAGTCAAACCATGTCACAAAGTGTGGCTGACAAGTGCCGTGCCTGTCTAGAGAGTGACATTCACTATAAAGGGATGGGGATGGTGTCATGAATACTTTATGATTCTATGAAATACCCTGTGTGTGTTCTGGAACATACTAATATGAGGAGTCATTGATTAAAACCTATGTTGGTTTGCACTGTCTCCCCCTCTGGTGAAACAGCATGGCTATTATGGGCTGGACTCAGGCCATGGCTGCCGGCCCTGCAACTGCAGCGTGGCAGGCTCCGTGTCAGATGACTGCACGGATGAAGGCCAGTGTCACTGCGTCCCAGGTGTGGCAGGGCAAAGGTGTGACAGGTGTGCCCGTGGCTTCTACGCCTACCAGGATGGCAGCTGTACACGTAAGCCTTGATTTCCTTGTTTGAGACTTTATAGTCATTCTTGGACCTTTCCTTCGGCCCTCCCTCTACTTCCAACTAATTTCGGTTAAGTGCATTTACTTTTTCTCTTCTTTCCCTGGAGGATTTCATACTTTTTTTCTGGTTTCTGATCCCTCTCAGGGTACAAGCCTAAGTTTTGGTCATGGCTCTGACGCCTACTAATTGTGGGAGCTTAGATTCATTACTTAACTTCGCTTGGCCTCAGTTTCCTCATCTGTAAAATGGGGATGCTAATGCGAGTCTGCATTGAGAAGTTAGTGTAAGTGTTCTATATAAAGTCTTCAGCGTGGCGTTGGGCCTGCAGTAAGTAAATATTGGCTCCCTCTGTGATCAGCTAGTGAGGGCCTTTTCACTCTTCTATTTCCCCTGTCCTGTCCCCATTTTCCCTCTTCCCCCAGCATCTCCTGAGACCGAGGGCTGGCCACCTCCATGAGGACATGGAGCAATCTTCAGAATTGTGAGGCATCTTTTAGGAGGGAGAAGAATGGCTTGGACTCTTCATAAAAGGGAAAGAACAGCGTCAGCTCTTAGCCCTTTACTGACGTCACCCAGATCTGTAACACAGCCTTCATCTTTATTTCAGCCTGTGACTGCCCACACACTCGGAATACCTGCGACCCAGAAACTGGAGAGTGTGTCTGCCCCCCTCACACACAGGGTGCGAGGTGTGAAGAATGTGAGGATGGGCACTGGGGCTATGATGTGGAGGTGGGGTGCCAGGTGAGCGCTGTCATCCACGCTTTTGCGTCACTGAGAGTTGCTTTGCTCTAGCAAGTTGCAGGCCTTTTCTTCTATATGTTTTCTGGACTTTAATCTGTTGAATAGCTTTGTGGGTTTAAAAAAAGAAAAAACTCAATGTGGGCGAGGCACAGTGGCTCGCACCTGTAATCACTGCACTTTGGGAGGCTGAGGCAAGAGGATCTTTTGAAGCCAGGAATTCACAACCAGCCTGGGCAACAAAGCAAAACCCTGTCTTTGCAAAAAATAGCAATTAAAAAAAAAACCTGGTGTGGTGGCACATGCCTGTGGTCCCAGCTACTTGGGAGATTGAGGCAGGAGGATCATTTGAACCTAGGGATCCAAGGCTGTAGTGAGCTGTGATCGCACCACTGCACTTCAGCCTGAACGACAGAGAAAGACTCTATCTTAAAAATCAAAACCAAAAACAATACACCTCAGTGCAGATGAGAGGGGTCAAAGTGGAAGACACCACACTCTGAAGACACCTTATTCTAGGTTTTCTTCAAGAACCTAGTTGTTACACTGATGGTTAGAAAATCCAAAAACTGGCCGGGCACAGTGGCTCACGCCTGCAATCCCAGCGCTTTGGGAGGCTGAGGTGGGCAGATCACAAGGTCAGGAGATCGAGACCATCCTGGCTAACATAGTGAAACCCTGTATCTACTAAAAATACAAAAATAATTGGCTGGGCATGGTGGCAGGCACCTCACTGTGTTGCCCAGGCTAGTCTCAAACTCCTGGGCTCAAGTGATCTTCCCACCTCTGCATCCCAGAGTGCTGTAATTACAGGCATGAACCACTGTGCCTGGCCTGATTTCTACAGTAATTTTGTGAGACTTGTTTTGATCTAGTAGATTTCATTTCACTTCACAATTTTGGCCCCATGCGCATGTGCCACTAAGATGCACAAACGTCCAGCAACACAATGCTTATCTCCTCTTGGCACATGGCAAAGTGAATCCATGGAGCAATAGCAAGAGGGAGATGGTTCATTTGTAGATCTTCCCCACGTGTAGTGTTCTCCTGTCATTCAAATATGTGCATACTTGGAAGCATCAAATCTGTCTTTTTATTGAGTTGATTTTCTTGTCTCTCAGGCCTGCAACTGCAGTCTCGTGGGGTCGTCTCATCATCAGTGTGACGTGGTCACCGGCCGTTGCCAGTGCAACTGGAAATTTGGCGGCCGGGCCTGTGATCAGTGCTCCTTGGGTTACAGAGACTTTCCCGACTGTGTTCCCTGTGACTGTGACCTGAGAGGGACGTCGGGGGATGCCTGCAACCTGGAGCAGGGTCTCTGCGGCTGTGCAGAGGAAACCGGGGCCTGCCCTTGCAAGGTATTTACCATCCATCCTCCTCCTTCTTCCTCTCTCTGCCTCCTCATCGTGACTCTTGGGCTTTGACTACTTACCTCAGCAACCAGTATTTAGATGCTTTCGCTAGTGACTTCACGCTGCCTTCCGCATCCGAGTTCAAAGTCTCTTGTGCTCCTCTAGAGTGATGGATGATTTCTGAAATTGAATTTTTACTGTTACAAGTGTCAGATGATGGAACCGATTTGAAAACTGCCCTGAGTTTTTGATCATATATCCCAGAGGCTGAGTGGCTGTGTATTTTGAGTATGCAGGTGAAGTAGGTATCTCAGGGCTTTGGGATTTGTGATGGGATCCCTGTGAGGTTATTGGGCTCCCGCAGGTGCTGGCCACACTGAAGGAAATCAGGGTTTATTATTTTCCCAAGAGGTAAGATTTCAATGTCATTATAAGTTTTGTGTATTTCCGTTAGTTTTCCCAATGTGCTTTGCTATTAGGAGGTCAGAGCCACCTCCTCTGGTCCTTTTCCCATGGGTGGTGAGATGGGAGCCCTCTGGCTTGATGATGGTAATGGGCTGATGGGTGACTGGAGATAAGAAGGAAAACTCATGTAGATATCATGGCCTGGGAGTAATAGAAGCATTAGTCTCCCTGTTTTCGGCCTTATTTATTTATTTATTTATTTATTTATTTAGAGACGGAGTCTCGCTCTGTCACCCAGGCTGGAGTGCAGTGGCACAATATCGGCTCACTGCAACCTCTGCCTCCTGAGTTCAAGCAATTCTCCTGCCTCAGCCTCCCAAGTATTTGGGACTACAGGTGCCCACCACCATGCCTGGCTAAATTTTTGTATTTTTAGTAGAGACAGGGTTTCACCATGTTGGCCAGGCTGGTCTCAAACTCCTGACCTCAGGTGATCTGCCCGCCTCAGCCTCCCAAAGTGCTGGGATTACAGGTGTGAGCCACCACACCTGGACTCTGCCACGTCTTATGATAACAGCTGTGATGACAGACGAGTAGAGCAGCAGGCCCTGTCTTAATAATCACCTGGGCCAGGCGCGGTGGCTGATGCCTGTAATCCCAACACTTTGGAAGGCCGAGGCGGGTGAATCACCTGAGGTCAGGAGTTCGAGACCAGCCTAGCTAACGTGGCAAAACCCCATCTCTACTAAAAATACAAAATTAGCCGGGCATGGTGGCAGGCACCTGTAGTCCCAGCTACTCGGGAGGCTGAGGCGGGAGAATCACTTGAACCTGGGAGCTGGAGGTTGCAGTGAGCTGAGATTGCACCACTGCACTCCAGCCTGGGTGACAGAGCGAGACTCCATCTTAAATAATAATAATAATAATAATACCTGCCGGTGGCTCTCACGCCCAGGGATCATCAGAATCACCTGGGGACTCGAGGCAGCTTCCAGAATTGCCATGGAATGTTCTCATCAGGGAATCTGTATTTTCCAAAAGCTTCCAAGATGACTCTGATAATCATCTGTGTTTGAGAATCACTGATTGGATCTTTGAGAAAACTGACATGCAGAGAGCTCAGGGCCCGGCTAACGGAAACTGATGTTTGTGCATCTATAATTACTTTTAAAATTATGTTTGTGTTTTATTTTGTTTCTGTTCAGAAATCACATCTCGTTTTTAGGCAAACGCGAGTCCTGTATTTGTTTCCTTTTAGGAGAATGTGTCTGGCCCTCAGTGCAACGAGTGTCGAGAGGGCAGCTTTGCTCTCCGCGCAGACAACGCCCTGGGCTGCAGCCCCTGCTTCTGCTCCGGGCTGTCCCACCTCTGCTCAGAGCTGGAGGGCTACGTGAGGACCCCAGTAAGTCACGCACGGCAAAGACGTTCTGCTTCTAACCCCACTCCCCTTGGGAGGAGGGTGGGGGTGGGAGACACAGCCAAGTGTTCACATTAAATTTTGCTTTTATGGCATCAGAAATTCTAGGAAGCTAATTTGGGTTAGAGCATGGATCAGAGCTCGGCTTCTGCTGGCCGAGGAAGTAAATGGAGCTTGAACTAAAGGCTGTCCGTGTTGTTCCTTAGCTAATCTATGAAAAGCTTTCACTGGAGAGAAGATAGAACTGCAAAATCTTAACCGTCTTCTGCATATCATCGAACATTTCCCCAGTGCAGCAACAGTTTGGCCTTAAATGCAGTCGTTTAAAGCGCTTTCAGTTCATTTTCATCCGGATGTTTAGTTTAAAGGAAAAGTCTTTACTGCTTCTGTTTTAATAATGAAGCTGTTTCATCTGTGAAACAATGATGGAATCTAAAGGATGAAACTGGCGTGGAAAGTTCGTATTTTGAAGTGCACTTTCCCTCCCTTTCGTGGTTTAGGTAACGCTGGGCTCCGATCAGCCTCTTCTGCGTGTGGTTTCTCAGAGTAACCTCAGGGGCACGACCGAGGGGGTTTACTACCAGGCCCCCGACTTCCTGCTGGATGCCGCCACCGTCCGGCAGCACGTCCACGCAGAGCCGTTTTACTGGCGGCTGCCGCGGCAGTTCCAGGGAGCCCAGGTGAGGGGCACGCCCAGGTGAGGGGCACGCCCAGCCGAGAGCCAGTCCCGGTCCCCACTTCCTGGCAGATATGGAAATCGTTTAAAATCACCACAGTCTGGCCCAGCCTGTCATTTAAAGAAGTGGTTATTAATTTCCTCTTTTAAGTGAGGTCAGAGAAGTTTAATAGTTATAAAAATCTCGTCAAGTATATGGTTCCTTAAAATTTTTCATTAATTTTAAAAGTTTTTTAAGTTCACATTATATTAATTTGGTTCTTCCTAAAGCAGTCATTCAACAAACATATACAGTTATTTGTCACTTAACGATGGAGAGACATTCTAGGGGAATGTGTCATTAGGTGGGAATGTGTCATTAGGTGCGAATGTTAATATCATCATCTCATGAGACCATGGTCGTATATGTGGTTTGTCATTGACTGAAATGTCATTACGTGGTGTGGGACTGGACTGTGTTTATTAATATGCCCGTCGAACAAACCTAGGTGCTATGGCCTGGGAGTCCCTTTTCAAGAAATTATCACTCATATGGGGCGGGGCGCGGAACTATTATAAAAGATCATGAAGGGCATCACTTGGATTTTTGTTTATATAAACATTGGAGTCTGTGTATGAATTCACCCTGATCTTTACAATTTGCAAATATGCATCCAGTGCTCCTGGAGACAGAGAAATTTTAATTTAAAGGAGCTTGAAAATAATTTGCATCATTACCACCTTGATTTGTTATTTTGGAGCTCACTTTTGTTTGTATTCTTAAAAGGAACTGTGTAACTTAGGTCAACTTAACAATCCATAATTAAATGGAATTAGAAGGAAACAAATTCCAGACAACATATTTCACGCATGTATTTTGAAGATACAAGATTTCTCTCATATGGTGGTAGGCTTGCAATAAAATGTTTTTAAGCGAAAGCTTTGTCAGAGAAGTAAACACTGTGTTATTTGATAGCTCATGGCCTATGGTGGCAAACTGAAGTACAGCGTGGCCTTCTATTCTTTGGACGGCGTCGGCACCTCCAATTTTGAGCCTCAAGTTCTCATCAAAGGTGGTGGGACCAGAAAGCAAGTCATTTACATGGATGCACCAGCGCCAGAGAATGGAGTGAGGCAGGAACAAGAAGTAGCAATGAGAGAGGTGAAAATGGGATCTTTTCATATAAGTTCCTTAAAGACATTGACTTTGCTATGGATGTAGTGAAAGATGAAAGCCATTAATAAGAGAATGAGCAGCCAGGTGCGGTGGCTCACACCTGTAATCCCACCACTTTGGGAGGCCGAGATGGGTGGATCACCTGAGGTCAGGAGTTTGAGACCAGCCTGGCCAACATGGTGAAACCCCGTCTCTACTAAAAATACAAAAATTAGCAAGGCATGGTGGTGCACGCCTGTAGGCCCAGCTCCTTGGGAGGCTGAGATGGGAGAATCGCTTGAACCCAAGAGGCAGAGGTTGCAGTGAGCCGAGATTGCGTCACTGTACTCCAGCTTGTGCAACAGCGAAACTGTCTCAAAAAAAAAAGAGAGAGAGAGACTGAGCAAGAAGACCCTGGGATCAAATTTCCAGTGGGATTAGCAGGATTTCCAAAAACAATTTGAATTTCAAATTCTCAAGAAATGTGTATTAGGCATATGTCAGTTTAGTGGGCACTGCATCTTAAATTCTTTATCTTGGCGTACTATTTTCAACCTGCATGGAGATAGTGGTACAGGAGACTTTGGACTTGCTCAGATTTGGGAAGTGTCCATTCTCCCAGCAGATGTTTACTGGATGTTCGCTGTGTGGCTGGCACTGCCTTAGGTAATGCGTATCTATTGATAAATGGACTGACGCTGCACCTGCCTGTGGAGGTTTCAGGAGGTCTTTGTCAGTTACACTCAGTGGCGTGCACAGAACATGGCTCATTTCTGGAGAAATTTATAAAAGAATTTATTCTTTATAAGTTTTATGCCTGTCAGAATTTGGCCTCTGAGCTTAAATGAATGTGTTTCTCATTCTACAGCATTTTTGGAAATATTTTAACTCCGTCTCGGAAAAACCTGTCACGCGAGAGGATTTTATGTCTGTCCTTAGCAACATTGAGTACATCCTCATCAAGGCATCATATGGTCAAGGATTACAGCAGAGCAGGTACTTGGAGCTTCTAGAATTTTGACCGTTATTTTCATATTTGAAAGCAAACTGAAAGAATTTGACTCATTCCGCTTCCATTACCTACTATTTTTATTAATACATGTAGTTCAGTTCCTTACCAAAACATTGTTAAATATTAATATCATTATGGAATGTGTGAGTTATAACTTAAAGTATCCACCTAGCATGCTAATGTCGATATAAAATATAAGGACGTAATGGTGGAATCTTGGCTGAAGATAAAATGCAAAGAAAAGAAAAGAAAAGAAACAGTTGCCATTTCTGCCGTGAAAACTGAAATGCCCACGTCTTTGTAATGATGTATAAAGAATGCGGTCACCAACTCATCTAATACTTTAGCCCATAAAGAAAGCCATTAAGTCTTGGCCAAATCAGCACTTCAAAAGGTCTTTTAGGTGTACTTCTGTCACATTATTTTTAAATTCTTAAATGTCTAAAATGTGTCATGACAGTACTAATGTGCTTTAAGACATTTCACTTATAATCACAAGTGGGAACTACTCCAAACAGGGAAGGAAGCTCTGGTTTCATATATATGCAAATATTAGGTCATGTGCTGTGTTTCTAGAAAGTTTTTCAAATGTTAGCATTTCCTCTCTTCTTAACGTGATGGCTGCACAGAATCTCAGACATTTCAATGGAGGTTGGCAGAAAGGCTGAAAAGCCACACCCAGAAGAAGAGGTTGCATCTCTTTTAGAGAATTGTGTCTGTCCTCCTGGCACTGTGGGATTCTCGTGTCAGGTAGGCAGACTCTAGTCAAAATCTATTTCCTTGTTATAGCAACTCCAAGAGACGAACAGAACTTATGTGTATATACTATATCATTTTTTTCTCTTTTTGAATTAAAAAGAAATTAATTTTGGTAAAATGTACGTAACAAAATCTGCCATCTTCGCCATTCTTTGGTGTACCATTTAGTTGTGTTAAGTACAGTTACGTCGTTGTACAACTGTCACTACTGTCATTCTCCAAACTTTTATCATCCCAAATGCAAACTCTGCACTCATTAAACACTGGCTCCCCATTTCCTCTCTCTGCAGTCCCCCACAACCACCACTCTTCTTTTGGTCTCTATGTATTTGACCACTGTAGGGCCTGCTTCTATATATATGTAATACATGGCGCCTGCCTGTAATCCCAGCTACTCAGGAGGGTGAGACAGGAGAATCACTTGAACCCGGGAGGCAGAGGCTGCAGTGAGCCGAGATCGAGCCATTGCACTCCAGCCTCAGTGACAGAGAGAGACTCCGTCTCGAAAATAAATAAACAAAATAAGTGGAGTAATACAGAATCTGTCTTTTTGTGAATGGCTTGTTTCACTTAGCATGATGTCCTCAAGACTCATTCATGTTGTAGCCTGTGTCAGAATTTCCCTCCTTTTTAAGGCTGAATAGTATTCCATTGTATATACATGCCACATTTTGCTTATTCGTTAATCTGTCAATGAATAAACTTGGGTGGCTTCCCAGTCTTGGCTATTGTGAATAATGCTGCTGTGACATAGGGGTTCAACTATCTCTTTGAGATTCTGCTTTCGGTTCTTTTGGATGTGTACCCAAAAGTCGACTTGCAGAATCACATGGTACTTCAATTTTCCATCTTTGGAGAGATGGAAATGGTATAGCTGCTGGTTTTTACTGTACCATTTTACATTCTCACCAGCAGTATACGGGGTTCCAATTTCTCACCAACACTTGTTAGTTTCTGTTTTGTTTTGTTTTTTTTTTTGATAGTTGATACCCTGACAGGTGTGAGGTGGTATCACCTTGTGTTTTTTCATTTGCATTTCTCTGATGATAGAGATGTTGAACTTCTTTTCATATACCTGTTGGCCATTTGTATGTCTCCTTTGGAGAAATGTCTATTCAAGTCCCTCACTCACTATTTAATCAGACTTTTTTGTCCTCCCTTTTGCATCCCCTCAGGACTGTGCCCCTGGGTACCACAGAGGGAAGCTCCCAGCAGGGAGTGGCAGGGGACCGCGCCCTCTGGTTGCTCCTTGTGTGCCCTGCAGTTGCAACAACCATAGTGACACCTGTGACCCCGACACCGGGAAGTGTCTGGTATGCTGGTTTGTGGGGGTGCTTGCCTGAGTTTAGAAGTAAAGTGGATGCTGAGTGTCAGATTTCTGGTCAAAGTCATAGCTGTGCCTTGGTTTAGTGAGAGGTTAGCTCAATGTAAAATATAAACGTATTTCTTTAAGGAAGGAATAGCTTAGTGGTTCTGACCTTATCAGTGGAAATTCTTTTATAAATTTTACTTTCTTGATGAATTTATCTGTGGGCATCAATTTGGGAATTACAGTCATGCACCAAATAATGACATTTCCATCAACAATAGATCACATATAGGACAGTGGTCTGATAAGACTATAACACTGTATTTTACTGTACCTTTTCTATGTTAGATATAGTTAGATGCACAAATATTTACTGTTGTGTTGCAATTGCCTACCATATGGCGTAGGCGTGTAGTAGGCTGTGCCATCTAGGTTTGTGTAAGTGCACTCTATGATGTTCACACAATGACAGAATCAGCTAGGATGCATTTCTCAGGAAGTATCCCCATCTTTAAGTGATGCATGACTGTAGTTGCTTGCCTTGTTTTAATTGCAGTACTGGTTGCCGTAGTCAAAATAGATGAGAACTATATATGATAAAGTCTGGGGGCTCACGTGGGAATTTTAAAATAAATTAATGCCAGTGTTGCAAATGTATTTCTCTATGTAAAATATTGCCCTCTCCTTGCATTTTTTAAAAAATGCATATTCTCTAGGGGATGATAACAGCACATTATTCACATGTTAGTGCGTATTTGCTTCTCAGCCACCTTCTCCTAGGCCAAGACTGGTCTCGGGGGCCGGGCGTGATGGCTCACACCTGTAATCCCAGCACTTTGGAACGCCGAGGCAGGCAGATCACGAGGTCAGGAGGTTGAGACCATGCTGGCTAACATGGTGAAACCCCATCTCTACTAAAAATACAAAAAATTAGCCGGGCGTGGTGGCGGCGCCTGTAATCCCAGCTATTCAGGAGGCTGAGGCAGGAGAATGGCGCGAACCCGGGAGGCGGAGCTTGCAGTGAGCTGAGATCGCTCACTGCACTCCAGCCCGGGCGACAGAGCGAGACTCCGTCTCAAAACAGACAGACAAACAAACAAACAAACAAAAAGATTGGTCTCAGGGACACATGGAGAACTCTGACCACTGTAAATGACTAAGCGACCCAGACAGAAGGCTCGCAGCCCTGACTGAGGACAAACTCCCGTGCCCATGATTTAGCTTGAGCCAGTGAGGCAGATAACAAAATGATCTGATACTTGTTTCCTGCTCCTGAAGGCTCATGCTTTACAATCACTCAGGTGGAAACATTGATTACTGGTAGAAATTGTTCCCAGATTAACTTGCCTTGGGTAAAATAATGCATTGAAGGGAAATGCGCTGCCCACCAAGGACACACCCGAAGCCTTGGAGACCTGGGTGTGGCCCAATCACAAGGAAACACTGGAGCCAAAACAGAGGATTAGGACTGCGGGCTCCCAACCTGCCTCCCACCACATTTTGATTCTGGTTTCCCTCTTTTTACAAATCTGTATTCTGTGTTTGTCCCTAGGGACTTCATTCATGGTCACCACTTATTGACAGTTCTTGTCACTGAAACCCCACTATAAACAAAAAATGGGTGTCTGGGCTTAGAGGATGGGATTTCAGGGTTGCAGTGGTCCTTCTATTCTTGTCAGAGTCCCTTCAGATCTTTTTTTTTTTTTTTTTTTTTTTTTTGGAGATGGAGGCTTGCTCTGTCACCCAGGCTGGAAAGCAATGATGTAATCTGCTCATTGCATCTGCCTCCTGGCTTTAAGCGATTCTCCTGCCTCAGCCTCCTAAGTAGCTGGGATTACAGGCGCCTGCCACCATGCCTGGCTAATTTTGTATTTGTAGTAGAGACAGGGTTTCACCATGTTGGCCAGGCTGGTTTCAAAATCCTGACCTCAAATGATCCACCTGCCTTGGCCTCCCAAAGTGCTGGATTACAGGCATGAGCCACCACACCCGGCTATCCCCTTCAGATATGAAGTCTGAACTGTAACAGCTATGCCAGGCAGTAATTTAGTGTACGTTTTACACCACCTGCAACAATGGGGAGCTCACTCCAGAACAGCTCAGCTCATCTTTGGGAGCCCTGATTCTTCCTGAAGCCGTGCCCCTGGACCATGCATCTGTTGGTACATCTGTTGGTGGTAGGACTTAACAAATACCTTGCGAAACTACTTGATCAAATCCCTCTTTCCCATGTCCAAAGGCCCTGAATCTTCAACCTTCCAAGTCACACACCCTCACATGGCTGGAGGCCGGATGGAGTGGTCATGGGTCCATTCACCAGTCTGGGGTGTGCATGTCACTGTGTGTCTTGGTATCCTGCCCTGAGCCTAATGCCTTTGCTCCCGGAGTCGATGGGAGCATCTCTCCTTAACTCGAGGTGCTGTGTCTCCACGGCACAGCCTGGACAGGGTAGTCATGTCCGCCCTGTCACTGCTGCCTCACAGAGTTGACTAGACATAAGACCCTTGCACTATTCTCACCATATAGGCCTCCGTCCCTTCTTCCTTGCTCTTTAAGCCCAGGGACCTTCCTTCCGGTCCTCAGTGTTCAGATCCTTTTGTGGTTTAGTGCAAGTTCATTTCCCTTCAACATAATCTCCTAAGCCACTCCCTCTGTATTTTATTGTACAGGTAGATAGAAGACCGTTTTGGATCTGATTTTGTCATTAGTATACAGGATGTTCAGGTCACTGGGCGTTTGGTGTTACCATAAAAATGATTGATTGGGGCCGGGCATGGTGGCTCACACCTATAATCCCAGCACTTTGGGGAGGCCGAGGGAGGCGGATCACCTGAGGCTGGAGTTTGAGACCAGCCTGACCAACATGGAGAAACCCCGTCTCTACTGCAAATACAAAATTAGCTTGGCGTGGTGGCGTGTGGCCTCTTAATCCAGCTACTGGGAGGCTGAGGCCAAAAAAATCGCTTGATCCCAGCTATTTGGGAGGCAGAGGCTGTGGTGAGCGATATCATACCATTGCACTTCAGCCTGGGCAACAAGAGTGAAACTCTATCTCAAAAAAAAAAAAAAGTGATTGATTTTTGGAAGTATGACTTGGAAGGGGCTGGGGAGACAGAGGACAGGGGCGGTTGGTAGCTGGGAGCTTCTCTTCCTGGTTACCCACCCCCTACCACCGCCTTCTGGAGATACGACGGAACCTTTTTACATCAGTAAAAAATTGGCAGGCATTCTCTGTGCATTTCCCATAGCAACGAGTTTCAGCCCCACACTTTAGTTCTCATCAGGAGGTCCTTATTTCCTGGCCACTCTTGGGCAGCTGTCTTTGCTTCTCTAGGGAGCCCAGAGTCCGTCGTGTGTCAGGGGGAGCTGTGTTAGCCGTGGAAAACCTGAAAATCTTCAATTCCCCTTATCGTCTAATATTTATCCTTGTCAATGTTTAGGCCATCGCCCATTTAACACATGTCTTTAACACATTTACTTTTCAAGAGAGAGATTACAAATTTTACTTCTAAAGAGAGTCAGTTTGAGAGGTCAGTAAGATCCCAGTAAAAATTTGTCCCCATCACGGAAAAAAATAGGAATAGAACTTAAAATGAAAAATACTAGAATTTTAAAACATTTAATGAACTTAAAATAGTCTTTTTTTTAACATGTAAATTATGTCTTTCTGTATCACCTCTCACTGCCAAGGAGAAAAGTGTGAGTCAGCCTGGGAGTTTGCTCAGGGGTTCCTCAGCCATCCTGGTTTTTCGACTCAGCTGCATCAGACATGGAATCTTGTGGCCAGGGACTGAGTAAATAGAGATGAATTGAGCAAATGCCAGTTTCAAATTGGAGTCAGATGGCAAGAACTGCTTGTTCTTTTAGCTTTAAAAATGTGTACCCTTTTTAATAGAAAGACGATAGGTCCAAAGGATGATGTAAAGGTTAACTGGAAATGCCACATGGGGTGGCCTGTGTCTGTCGTCCCAGCTACTTAGGAGGCTGAGGCAGGATGATCACCTGAGGCCAGGAGTTTGTGACCAGCCTGGGCAACATAGCAACCCCCTATCTGTACAAAAAAGTGAAAAATTAAACAAACGTGGTGGCGTGTGCCTGTTGTCCCAGCTACTCGAGAGGCTGAGGCAGGAGGATCACTTGAACTTGAGCCCTGGAGGTCAAAGGTGCAGTGAGCTATGATTGCACCATGCACTCCAGCCTGGGCAACACAGGGAGACCTCGTCTCTAAAAAAAAAAAAAAAAATGAACTGAAAGTTAGTTGGTGATTGCAGTAATCTGTCAGTGGTGCTCTAAAACCATGAGTTTTCTTCCCTCATTCTCTATTTCCTAAATCATCTATCCATTCTTCACTTCCTTGCATGTGGTTGTTGAACC